ACACACACACACACACACACACACACACACACACACACACACACACACACACCTCCATCCACAGTGGGTTGAAGGAGAATAGTGATGACTTACGGGACTCCGAGTGATGTTCAAATGCTAACTGCGTTGCTGCTCCTGTCAGTAAAAACGAACAGTGCCAGGTCTTTGAGAATGTAGCAGGGCTAGATATGATGGCAGCATGTTGTGTGTGTGTGTGTGTGTGTGTGTGTGTGTGTGCATGTACACACGTTGCTAAGCCAAACGATTGAGATGGGGATAGGGTGACTTAGTCTCGCTGGAGGAAAGGAAGGATCAAAGTACTTGAGCTTGGTGCAGTGCAGAACAGCCTGCTCCTCTGCATTCGCTTCTCTTTTTATAAACCAACCCTTGCAGTCAGGGCTTGCGTAACATATTAAATTATTACTGCATATTTCTGCACATGCTGATGCGAAAACCTCTGGAAAAAATACCACTCATGTTTGCAGTAACCTCAAATATGTCGTGACTGTAATGGCGTTTTATTTCCGATATCTCTTCATGTTTTTATCAGAACTCCTGCAAACCAGTTAAAGACCAATGCAAGAAGGTAGCTTTAAAGTTTTGCCGCTATATGAGCTTGGTCAGGTGATATGCCTGGGCGACCCATGCAAAGGATTTGTTGCAACCCACCAGGGGTCTGCAACCTGCGGCTCTGGGGCCACCTGTGGCTCATTGGTCCCTCTGCAGTGGCTCTTTGAAAATTTGACCAAACATAACAGAATATTTTTTCTGTTTGTTTTTTTTATACCCACTGACTGGAACCATTTTAGATTAGAACTGAAGCATTTCTTGAAGGAAAACCAGCTTTGTAGTCATGAATAACTGAACTGTCACTTTTAATGATTTGTTTTTAAGTTGGTTTTATGAGTTTTTTAGTGAGYTTTAATATTTTGATMCTTTTATTTGTTAACTGTTTTTTACACTTTTATTTCATGTTGCTAAAAGCCCATCTAAGGACGGGCTTTGCAAATTAGCTCTGGCTATAAATGTTGTAGTGTATAGTATTGTCAATACTTGACACTTGTCCCTATTCAAATAAACAATGAATAAAATAAAACAGAAATCAATTTGTATGCAAATATGTGATCAATATTACTAATACAAAAAGTAAAACATGCTAGCTCATGCTAGCCTGTTGTTTATTTAAATAATCCAACTTATTTTTATTATCTTTATCTCAAATCCATCAGAATTACCTTTAAAGAATTTGAAGACTACATAATAATAGGAATTAGAAAAAAATATGCCTGGACAGTTCAGTTGTACTAGTTTTTATAAAATTCGGTATAAACTACAGTATTTTTCTTGTTTACATGAATATGGTCTTTTCCTTTGTCCTGATGTGTAAAAATAATAGTAAATAATAAATTTCACAATATATTTTTCATTTTATAATGTCACCTCTACTGGCCGTAAAGG